GTTGGTTTGCGGTATTTGGGGGAGTTGCATTGCTTGACTTCCTTGTTTTTGGATGGTTGCCATGGTGTCTCGGATTCTGGAATGGAGCATGTTGCTGTACTAACAGCCCTTAAGTACTTGAGCCTGGCAGAATGTGTGGGAATCACGGGTGCAGGTTTTCAGCACTGCAGGAAGCTACATTCCTTGACTACCCTGGTCCTGGACTCCTGCAGTGGTATTTCTGACTCCACAATGGAGCACGTGTCTGTGCTGACGTCCCTTGAATGCTTGAGCTTGCAGCATTGCTCCAACATTGTTGGTGCGGGCTTGCTGCACCTGGGGCACCTTCATTCCTTGACCACGCTGGTCTTGAATTATTGCAACGGCATTTCTGACGCTGCGGTGGAGCACGTCGCTTCGGTGACGAGCCTGAAGCACCTGAGCTTGAAGGGCTGCAGGAGGATCACTGGTGCCGAGTTTGAAAGGTTGGGGAAGTTGCATTCTCTGGCTTCTCTGGTTTTGGATAGATGCAGCATATCTGATCCTGAATTGAGACATCTAGCTGTGGTGACGAGCCTGGAACGCCTGAGCCTGGGGGCATGTAGGGGGATCACCGATGCGGGGTTGCGGCACTTAGACGGGCTGCATTCCTTAACTTCGCTAGTCTTGGCTGGCTGCCCTGGCATTTCTGACTCAGCAACGAAGCATGTTGTTGCTCTGACGAGCCTACAATACCTAAACATTAGAGCATGCACGAACATCACGGAAGTTGGCCGCCAGAATGTCCGGGCGAATTTGCCGGTGCTCAAGAAGCTTGAGTTTAGACGGCGGTGATCCTCCGCTGTGGCACGTCGTGTGCCACACGTAATTTTGATGTGTCGTACATTTGCAAGAGTGTAACCGAACTGGCACAATTCGTATCCGCATGTTGGTGTATGTATGAGCCGCGGCCCTGTGCTGAAACCATGTACTGTTGATGTGCTGTGAGAAAATGGGACCAATACGGGCAACCTTTGTCATGTTTTGGAGCACACCTTGCTTCTTCGTTTGCAATCCCAAACCGTCATGAAGGACAATCACGGCGCCGGTAACTGAGGCGCCAAGGATTCATTGTAGTGGATGCGTCCCTTGTGGCAAGTGGATGGATGACAGAGTTGGGGATATGGACAACATTGGGGTTCTCTCCTAATGTGTTGCTGTTTGTAGATCTATGTACATTATGTTCCTTGATGCTGTGGGGGTGGGGCTTCTGCCAATTGTGAGGTCAATGTGGACCGCTAGCAGAGGATCGCTGTTTTGACTATCTGAGCTCAGCACAGACACGTAACATGACCAGTGCGTCGATTCTTCACGTTCCCTGTAAGTATTTGCATCCAGTTCATGTGTCTCTTGTGTCCGGGAGTGACTGTGGTCGAGAGTGTGCAAAGTGCTGCCAGCTGTAGACAATGCGCGAGCAGTGCTACTTGCTGAATGAAGGGCTAGAATGCAAGAGTCACAATCCTGGACAGATGGACTGTGGCATGCTAACGGCAAGGACGTGCACAGTCTGCGACTTTTCAATCCAGATGCCCCAAATCCAACAGGAAAGAACATGAGGAGAGGGACAAGGAGGGCGCAGGAAGTAGCGAGAGGCCAATAGTTGACAACGGTGGAGACAGGGGGCAGGCACTACATATTTGTGCGCTGAATGCTATTCATCCCGACCTCAAAGTCTTCAGCACCATCATCCACAGCTCGGCAGAGAGCCCCTCGTCAATTCTTGCCCTGGAAAGGGACAAACAGTGACACGAGTCGTTTTTGTTACAATGCACGCTCTTGGGCATCCCATATGCTTCATCTCAGACAGACCTGCCATTCGCAAAATCTGCGCCGCACTGCAGCAATGGTAGCCAAGAATGGTGAGTGCCACACATGGGCGCGCTGGGGCCCGTCGCCTCACATATCGCTTCCAGGAATCATTGGAACTAATGGGCGGAAGTCTCTGCAAAGAGTTTTACTCAAAACACATGAATTCAACCATTGCCCGTGTCAGTAGCCAGAACAGGGAGCTGTGGGTGTGTGCACACACTAACCAAAATTCTCCCTGTTGAAGTCAGCCGGGATAATTCTCGCTAGTAATGGCGTTCTCTCTATTTTGGACATCGAATCAAATGTGCCATTGGTACACGACGCATAGGCGCACAAATTTGCAATTCACAACCCACAATGCAATGCAATCTGCAAAGATCAATGGTCCAAACTGGCCATAGACCCTCCAAAAGGGCGCAGCAAAAGCCTTCAAGAAAGATACGCCCGTCCCCTACTCCAGAGCCGTTGAAGAGCGCAACAAAAGTCAGCTGAATCGAGTCACTTTGCATGCCTGTGTCTGGCGATTCTGCCACAAAAAGGTGGGCAGGAACTGCCCAATGGCCATGCATCCCCAGCCGCATGCAATCCATAAGAATATGGGAAGAAACGCTGACAGAAGAAGCAGCGATTCCCAAAGATTCACTCATAAACACAGGCAGCTCGAACGGCGAGCAAGCGACGGTTGTACCACAACGAAATCCAAGCGTTTTGAATCAAATACCACTGGCTTTGAAGCCAAACCGGTCGGGCTACACGCCACGCCCTGCGTGCAAAGGCCACGCACGCACAGGGAGAACACCAGCAAGGTGCTTATACAACTTCACACAATTTTGTTCGTTCCGTTGCATCCCCTCCAAAACGGGCGGCCCGACCTTGTGGCGTCGCACAAGTCGTAGCAGCCATCCAAAACGGACCGCTCTAACCTCGTGCATGTCGCCACACCAAACCTACTTTGATTCCTAATAACTCATATCAACTCTGGGAGTCCACATCAGATTTCCTCCCAGCCCGACATACCCCTAAACGGGTGTCCTAATTTTATAGGCTGTTGCATGCCGCTGACATAATCTTGGTGCAAAGATTGCATCACCCACATGTGATGCGCGGCCCAAGCTGCATATAAAATGCCACAACAGCCCCTTTCCCGTCGCCGCACTAAATTCGAATAAAACGCCGCCGCACTCTGCACAGCTGCCGACATGATATCACTCACCCAGCGCATCCGTGGGGCCCCTCTGACGTTGGTATGCTGCATGTAACGATGATGTTTGGGGCAGATACATAAATAATGCTTACCTGTTCGTCAGTTGTGTGTGTACTGATGCACTCTTTTTCTTCTCGTACCCTTGTCAACAACGTGTTCACCATCATTCCGAGCTTTCATCCATATTTTCGCCTGGCCACGCAGGGCTGGTCACAACGACGATCACAGTCATCTAGCTGTTAATGTAGGCTACAATTGGCGGCCCGAACAAATCTGAATGCACCGTAGCTGTCTGTCCCCCAATGGTCCTGCAGGCAATGTAGCTGCCCAATTAGAAGAGGTGCATCGCATTTCTGGGGCACAACTTTTGTCCAGCCATTGCAGCCCTCAATGCCCCCATCTCTATTGCTCATGTGAACGTCTTGTCGTGCCAATCCACGACAGCCTGGGATATGTTTTCAGGCTGGTCTTCTTGAAGATACTGCCCCACCAATCCCATACTAATGGCCCCAATCAAGCTCTCAGGGAACGGGGAAGCGGCGTCGACGAAAGCAGCTATGAAACAAGACCCCTGGAGAAAATAAGGTGCCTTTCTCTGCAGCCAAGAAGACCTTGGCACAGGTCTGGTGAACAGCGCGTTCCGGCTCCTCCACACCTCTAGCCACACGCCTGCTCGAACATCCTGGCACGGGAAGGTGAATTTAGCAGACTTCAATTGCCATTTCCTAAGTTTTACAACGATGGCATGTTTGGGGAAGAACTAGCTATCTATGAAAGTGCCATGCTGCAGGTCATGCCGCGCATCCGGGATTCCATATGCTTTGCATGTCCCCAAATAGCTTGGCGTGCAGACGCCAGCAGGATGCCAGACTTGGCCTTAAGGTTTTGAGAGCAAGATCCCCGCGGCAGAGAGAAGATGGCCGCGACATATCATTAGCCCACTAGTGCTGCCAGGCAAAGTACAATCCCAATTATGCATAGTGTTGCCATGTGCAGAAAATATGACAACATGCGCCAGTTGCATCGATGCATTACCTGGATGTAGTCATATTTTGTGCACACGAACCGTGTCACACGATATCGTGTGTCCAAAATTTTTCGACTGTCAATGCATGCCAATACTTGCATCTGGAGTGGAGACCAGCTCTGCGGAGGGTGCTTAGAAGGCAGCCGTTTTGTGTGGATCTCACAGATGTGGCGGCGAATGTAGAATATGGTGAACGTAGAACGAACCTTGTGACACCGTATGGACGTTGGGAACCTGCTAAATCGTAGAATATGAGTATATATAGATAAAGTGTGGTCTTGCCCATGCAAATGGCTGTGGGCACTTTTGTGAACAATTCTGGGTTTGTGCGAGCTGGTGGGTGTAGAAGTGGAATGTTCATCGCATGGGGTGCAGAATTGGGTGCAGAACCGGGTGGCTTTGTATCTAAGCGGCGTACTTGTAATCCATCGAGTCTTTGGTGCAATGTGTGGTCTTAAACTTGTATTTCATTTGAGATTGAGCAGAAAATGCGCTGATGGGCTGCAGTCGTGCATTGCTCAAAGTGGCAGGCGATGTCGCCTTGAGGAAATGGCATCAATCAAATTTCTGTACGTTTAATGTAGTTTCAGACACTGACTGTCAGTTAGCTCGCACGTGGCCAGCTCACCCGGGCAGTGACACTTTGGCTGTTAGGTGTCCCTACACAGCTGCTCGTTGAAATTGGCGGCCAGAACCGTACAATGAAAAGTGCTCCATAATGAGCGGCTGTCCCGAGCAGCTCTGAGAAACAAAATGCGGAGCAAAAAGCGCAACTGTAAATTCGTTGATGCAGAAGAGTTGAATGTACTACAGTACCTGTGCACCATGTGCTCTCCCTGCGCTGGTCTCATGCTGTGACTCCTGGACAGGGCCGCCCATGGGCCCCTGGGCTTGATTGGCCACTCAACGCCTTCCACAGACGAACTGGTAACCGAGCATGATCTACAAATTCTCCACATCGACCACTCCGGCCATCTCCTCATCCTGCCCAAAATACAACCCTGACACCGCTATCAGCAAGTTCAGCCGCGGCAGCATGTCCCGCTCCTCTTGGGAGCCGTCCGCAACACAGACCCTCCTTTCTGCGCAGTGACGGAACAGTGCTCGCACAGCAGCCAGCACTTCAGGGTGCAGCGGAGTGTGAATTTTGGCGAGCAGGGCGTACAGCCACAGGGCCCTGAGCTCTGTGACCTCTCGCCCCTTCGCCTGGACCAGGTCGTGTATGTGGGTCTGCAGAATCCGCTCCACAGCCACCTGAACAGCAACAATTGAATGTGGCGGATCAGGAGCATGCATACATGGAATGTGCTATGATTCACAGACTGTTCCAGAACTGGCATGTGTTGGCTTGCCTGATGTATGTCTTGAATGCAGGGCTCATGCTGACAAAACTTGCGCAGGAAGTGTTGCTACAAGCCAACAGCTGCAAACCACTCAGGCTATCAGCAGCAACTAGAATGTTACATGTAGAAAGTGCATAAAAAAAATAAATCTACAGAACTATTCATTTAACATCATCGCAAGCCAAAATAGCGAAACTTGTGTTCATAGCATTCGCCACTGTCTGGCACTGGTCTTCAGTTGAAGTAAAGAAGACTAGAACTTAGCGAATGGCCTAGGTTCGCCCTGAGTGGATATATTCTTACAGATATCGTGAAAACGACATGCTTGTTATTGTACACAATACTGTCCGAATACTCAGGTAACATTGTACTTCTAGAAGTCTGCCATGACGATCAACTCCCCCCCCTACCTGATCGAGCTCGCTCATGTTGCTTAACAGAGGCTCGGTGCCCTCTTGAAGGCACTTCAGATCCTGGACTGTGTCTCTTGCATTGCTCCTGCAATCCTTGGATGAACTGTTGCTTGAGACCATGATGGGGACTCCGTACGGAATTTCACCATCCTCATCTTCCTCCATCCTAAAATGAAAACAAAAAAGTGTTAAATGGGTCCATCCAGGATCGGTATGGAATCAAGCTGACTGCTTGACGCTAGCACTGCTAGTAGCCTGACGAATGCCCTCATCGCACATAATTCCCTGCCATAACACAGAAATGTTGGCAAATGTCTGCTACAGGGAATACTTCCACAAGCTCAATTGTCCATACTGCTTTTCAAGGCCAATGCCCAAACTTTTGTTCCTTATGTTCTCCATCTGCGCCACAAAGTGGTTTCACATCCCTGAAAGAAAGGTTGCCTTCAATTGAGGTACAACAACAGCCCGTTCCAGCCGAGAGGGTACACAGAACCAGGAAAAGAGAAAACTTGTGGTTATGAGCCAGCTATGCACTCACATCTTGCCCATGATGGCCCCAGTACACAACAAGATGTGCCCCAACGCCCCTTCCAGCAGCAAGATTTCACAGGGTGGGAGGGATGTAAAAAACACAGCAATGATAGTTGAGGCAAACATGAGATTACAGTGTGACAAGCCAGGCAACATCTGGCTTTAACCATAACCGCCAACTGTCAGGATGTGCAAGGTTTATTCCACACCGTTTTACGACAAACATAAGAATCTTTGCACTGCCCCCCTCCCAACAAAACACATTCTATTTGGGTCAGAGTAATCCAGGCAGCATACTCACTACAACTGCACACCAGCACATATTGAATACAAGGGAAGGGGCAACAGCAGGGGGAATGAGAAACAAACACACCCACTGATGGCGCCACACAAGCGGTCCTCGTTAAGCGGGGTTTGAATATTGCAGCATGTTTCTCCATCCCAAGAGGAGGCAATCGTCACCTGTGAAGGGTGGCCCTCAGACTATGGAAATCCTTTAGACACCGCTTCAGCCACCTCACAGTGGGCTGGTGGTGCTCTGGCGTGCTGGGGATGTTGGGCGTAAGGGGAATCGAGCCTGTGCGACGGTCTTCAAATTTGCTGGTGTCAATGTCAGCTGTCACAACCTGCTTGCACCTCAAGGCTTCCCACCTGAGTCACAGAAGCCATATCACATCAGTTTTGATGGGCATGGAAATGAATGTTTCTGTCAGAGATGATTACAGATGGCAGTGTAAGCCTGCACATTGGAAGATGCAGTGGCACTAGATGGATGGCAGTGTTCCTGTTTCACAGGGAAAACTTTTGCCTAGAGTAGGCAACCATTGGATAGTCAGGAGTGAGTGCTTCACAGTCTGTGGGTGCTGTGAGGTGCACAGTGTTGAGTGTGAAACGGACAACTCTATTGAACACATAGCCATTGCTTGCATTTAGGACAACTGGATGGAGCTCTCGCTCCTGCTGGCTTTGTGAGGGAAAGTATGACTCCTCCCTTCTCAAATCTGCAATTTCAGTGAAGGCTCCATTGCAATTCATTTGCTGTTTGTATTCGTGTGGTGGTAGCCGTTGCCAGGTTACAAGATATTCTAGAATCGGCGAAATGGGTGAAACAATGGTACTGCATCACCTGATGGGCAGTCACAAACTATCTTGATTATTGCATCAATCCAGTGAGAAACATTGCCCCAGCGCCTGGACGGCGATCTTAAGCCAGAACCAAGCCCCGACAATTCCTGAATAGTCTATGTCCATTTGAAGGCAGGATTCAGAGCACAAAATGAAAAGGCAAGTCACAAGAATATGTCATTATTCTTTGGAGGATACTCGACTGGTCATCGCATCCCGATTTTGTCGCAGTGAATGCACAGGCGAACCGGGTCCCCAGAGCCCAATGCAGCGCGAGCCCAATCTGGTGCGAGCATGCTTCGGGATAGGTTCAAAGACCAGCCCGAACAGATCCACTGGCACCTGTGCCAATTGCCCCTTTCCCCCAAGCCCCCTGCTCATCATTTCGCATCGAAGACTCTGTATCACAGCTTGGAAAATACTTCCGCATACACTTGCTCACGAAGGGGCGCCCTTTGTATGGCCAGTTTCTTTCTCTCTTTGAAACAACCTTACGCCCCCCGGGCCTATCAACATTAAGGCTACGAAAGTCCGGGCACTGGCCGCATCCGTTGAACCGGTAGGCCGCGCGTGTGGGCTCCTTACGTCGGCGGCGTCACCTGACCCTCCTCAGGTACTCTTCCGCGCTGTCGGGGGGCCCCGAGTCCCAGTCCGGTTCCCCCTCCGCCACCGGCAGCGCCTGCCGGATGCCGTACAGCTGCAGGTGCGCCGGAAGATCGGCCCCGTGGTCGTCGATGCCTGATCCGATCTCGCGCCCGCCGCGACTGGACGCTGTGCCAACCGCCTCCGGATCTTTCTCGCCTGGGATTGGGTTGGATGTCGAGGGGACCGGGGTGATGTCGTCGATCAGGCGCTCATCGTCGTATGAGTCGAAACAGTCCGACATTGTGAAAGGGAGCCGCGGGGGCCAGCGTCCTGGGCTCAAGTGACCGGGAAGGGGCGCGGCAAGGAGGTTGAGGCTGGGGAGTGGGACTGGCGCCAGGCGTTGGCGTCTTGGCGTGGGTTGGGGATGGTTGGACCTAAACTGAGGGCGGCGGGAAATTAGTTAGCAGCGACAGGACACCCAGCCGGCGCCAAGGGTTGTAAACTTTGGAGTCGCTTGGAAGCTGGCAAAAATGTGTACCCCGCCGTATTGTCGTCGGCAGCCCACGGCCCATCTGCTGCAAGGGCACCCTTCTCTCCCGCCCTGGACCATGCGAGCCAATGCAGAACTCGAAGAAAAGAGAAGAGTGTGCCCATGAGTGGCCCATGCACTGGTCTGGCGCTTTGCCACTGCCACCTCACCGCAGGTTTCATCGAGAGCAACAGCACGGGATCGGTGCAACTGAGCGTGTCCATCCCTGATATGGCCGCGTCTGTTGCACTTCCGTTTTCAGATTCCAACGCCCACCGGGTGTTGGAACTTCTATCTGTGGCCAATCTCATAAGACTCACAGACTAGATACAACAACGCATTCCCAACTGAAACCTCCTATCCAGCCACGGCGGTCGTTGGTGACAAGCCTTCCAAACAGTTAGACTCGTTTCTGCGCTTCCACAGCATTATCCCAGCCAGGTCGTACCTGTGCAGAAGCCCTCCGACCACCATGACCAGTCAGGTGCATGTCTCCCTGAAGCTCCCTGCAAGTCTCCCGAAACAAAAGCAAGTTTTGGAGGTCCCTGAACGCTCTGCAGCGTTCAGTCTATGCCCAGGGCCAAGGTGCCCAGATGGCGAATTTTTCCAGTGTCCACTGGGAGCCAAAGTGCAGCATCAAGACAGTTGCCTTGCTCCCTTGTCAGAGGTAAGGCCACTGGGCAAAATGGAAACAACTGATGAGCCATTGTTGCTGAAGAAACCTGATATGCGCTACGTCAGGCCTGTAAGTCAGCAGTTCAAGCAAGCTGCAACCAGACAAGGCCTTGCACTGGTTGCCCACACTGGTTTCAAGGCTGCTCAGCTGATTGCTACACAGCTAGGTAGACTGTCAAGATGTACAAGCCCAGAAACAGGTCAAGCAGCCTGTGGTTCAAGGGTTTCGATTGTGTGCCCAGCAGAGCAACGGTCAAGTTCAGGGGAAAGGAGCGGACCATGCAGCTGTTGTAAAGGTCTGTAAGAGGCGGCAAGACTGTCTTTCTGTAGGAGCAGTTCCTCCGACACAGGAGACGATCTGAGGCGCCTCATCCGCTGCCCGATCGCAGTGTTTAGCAGCTACCATATGCAGAAGGGGAGGTGGCAACAAAGAGCAGCAAGCAGCACTGCCCTGCGCATTTTCAACGGGCGCCTTTTTCGCAGGTCCACATTCCGGGCCGATTCAAACTCTGCGAGAGCAGCGGGCCCCTCCCGGCACGCGGCCTCCACACAGCACACAGTCGACGCTGGGCAACATCCTCGTCGAATGTTCATATTACAAGATACAGTCTCGTCCTTCCTACAGGCCAGCCTCTCGCCCACCCGGCCCAGGGGACCCCCGCTCCGGCTCAGCCAAAACGCCGATTCGCCTCTGCCGCCCACATTTCCGCAGCCGCCGAGGGCCGCGGGGATCAAGGCGGGTGCCGCCACCGACCCAGCCCGTTCCACCGGATCGAGAAGCCCGGTGTTGACGCAGAAACACCGCTGGGGGCCCAAACCATCGACAATCTATTTCCACCCCGGACCCGCATGGCCCGGGCGGCACCCCCGGCTCCCCCCAGCAACCCCTGCCACGCAGAACGGGAAGCGCAAAACCCGACCGCCCCGCGTCCAAAATCCCTCCCTTCCGCCCCCCGCCCACTCACAGCCCCATGCCGGCTCAAGCGGCGGCCTTCTTCGCGCTCTTGGGCAGCAGCACGGAGTGGATGTTGGGCAGCACGCCGCCCGCCGCGATCGTCACGTCGTTGAGAAGCTTGCTGAGCTCCTCGTCGTTGCGGATCGCCAGCTGGATGTGCCTGGGAATGATGCGCGTCTTCTTGTTGTCCCTGGCTGCGTTGCCAGCCAGCTCCAGCACCTCGGCCGCCAGGTACTCCAGGACCGCCGCCAGGTAGACCGGCGCGCCGGCCCCGATGCGCTCCGCGTACTTGCCCTTCTTCAGGTAGCGGGCGATCCTGCCCACCGGGAACTGCAGCCCGGCCTTGGCCGACCTCGTGACGGACTTCTTCGACGATTTCCCCTTGCCGCGTCCCGACATCTTGATGCCCGGAGGATCGAGTGCCGCGCTTGTGGTGGTAGCAGGGGCAACGCCTTGGCGCCTGGCGGTGAGAGAAGGGGCTTCGCGCGCGAGGGAGCAGTGGTGGCAGTATGGAAAATTGGGGACGGTGAGGCGGGTTTATATGGGTGGGGCAAAGGGCGTGGCGGTTGGCTTCCCACCACCTTTTTCGCGGGACGCCCGCGTTCTGGGCAGGCAGTAATTCGAAAATCGAAATTCGAAATTGGGGGCGAGGCGCGGATTTGAATTCGGCGGGGGGTGCTGGGCTGAGTGGGCGCATCTACCTGCATGGGATCGCACACGGCCGCTGAGGACGCCGGGCGCAGCTGCCCGCCTGACGTGTCTGCCACACGGTGGAATCTGACTCATCAACGGTAGCAGGCAAGGTGTCTATTGGCGGCCTGTAGGATATTAAGAAAATGTAAGCGCTGGGGTCAGTCCGCTGATGGTTTCTCACTGGTGGGTACTGGGTTCACCGTTAACAAACCTGCATGCTATTGTCCACCATCGGAACTTGGTCCACGGGCGAGTTTTTTCCCCCCCAAAGGGCTGTTCATGGTGTACATTCGATACTCCCCCCAATTCACGTCAGCCTTCTTGTGCAAGTGCCATCGAGCCTGGCCGAGTGCATGTCGAGTGAGTCCACTTTCTGCTACTCAAGTTGTTGGTGGAAAGGTGGAGGGCTTGGTTGTCCGTGTGGCACTTGGCCTCCATGCCCGCCAGCGCCTGCAAATGCGCAAGGGCGCCGCTTTGTCTCTCGCCAAAGGCGATCTTGAACAAAGGATCACTGCGCCGGCTCATGGCCTGGCTGCTGACTCGCTTCCTGGCCTGCAAGGTTCCCTCTGGGGGAGACGCATCCCGGGTGAAGCGGGGACACGGGGCCAGCCCAAAAAAACACAAAAAAAAGAAAAAAGCGCAGGTGGGAGGGAACAGTCTGCCCTTCACAGATACATAACCCCCCTCCGGTGCCGCCATTTTCGTGTTTGGCACCCGCTGGCACCTGGTCCGCTGAGCCGCGCAGCGCTGCCGCCTGCCTCGACAGCCACAGGCCGCCTCCGCGCCCGCCGCCCGCCGCAGCCGCCGCCAGGATGCCGCCCAAGGCCGACAAGACGCCCGCCAAGAAGGTTGCAAAGAAGGTGACGGTGGGCAAGCGCAAGAAGGCCAAGTCGGAGACGTACAAGATCTACATCTACAAGGTGCTCAAGCAGGTGCACCCCGACACGGGCATCTCCAGCAAGGCGATGTCGATCATGAACTCCTTCGTGAACGACATCTTCGAGAAGATAGC